CTTGCCCACCCAGTCACTCACCCGCTCACCCACCCACCGATCTAATCACCAACCCATCCACTCACCCGCTCACCCACCCACCCACCCACCGATCCAATCACCAACCCATCCACTCACCCGCTCACCCACCCACCCACCGATCCAATCACCAACCCATCCACTCACCCGCTCACTGACTCAGCCAGTCACCCACTAACACACTCACTCACTCACCCACCCACTCCTTTCAAATTAATATTTGGGCCAGTGCGAAGTTATGTGTTCCACGGTTCGGCGTTTGAAGCACCAGTCACGCATTGGAGAAAGAGCGTTATAATTTTCTAAATCCACCGTCATCTATTTACCTATTTTCCGTGTGAATCTGAGACCTGAAATTGTTTCGTGAAGTCGGAGCTCGTAGAGTTTGTTGCCTGGGTGGGGTGATGGGGGGGTGGTGGGGGGGGGGTACTGATGAGGGGGGCGACATGAACACTGAAACCATTTCCACAACTGAGGGCCCACAAATTGAGGGCCCAGCAAATATCCAACAATGCCAGCGGGAAAGCGGCGAGCCTGATGGCAGCAGCTTACACGGGGAGCTGCCGTTGTGTCAATGGCTGCCCACACTCGGCTTGTAATGTAGAAGTCGCCGGGTCGATTTGATCGCCCACCGCGGCAGTTGAAATTTTGGGTCAGGTTTGCTCAAATGCCTGTCCAGCCAGCGGCGTAAACGGATGCACCGATGTCGCTCGGTAGGTCGCGTGCGGCAAGGTAAAGTGTGGGTCCTCCTACCTCTTCCAAGACTTCTGAGCAGCGTGGAAGAGTAGGCCAAATGCGCTCTCTCTCGAGGGACCTCTCGTAGAGCTTTCTCGTGGAGGCACTTCCACCAGCAGTGGCATGAGCAAGCGGTTACCTTTTGCAGTTCAAATTGAACGGTCTCGTCATTCAAATAACATCCTAATGTACGCAACTATATGCCAGAATGTATCTAATGCCTGGCCTGTTGGCCTGTCTGCCTGCATCATGGTATCATCATGAGCCATGATTAATCCACTGCTGGATGAAGGACTCCCCAAGCCGTCACCATCGTTTGACGTAACCCTTGGTGCGTGTTCCTCTCCTTTGGCCTCCACTCCACCATGCATCTCAACCGTTCTCCATCATCCCTGAAATGGACATGTCCTGCTCGATGCCCCACCTTCCTCCTTGATTCTTCTTGCGCGTGTTCGCTGGTTCTCGCGTGCCCCTCTCTGTCTCTCAGCGTAATCCCAAGTGTGCTTGCGTCTCCACGCTTCTAGTCCCACGCTTTTCGATTTGAACCGCTTCCTTTGTCGATGTCAACATTTCTGACGAACAGGTAACTTGATTAAACAACATTCTATCCTTTCGCAAAGGCTCGTGCGTTGCTCTTCGGGCGTGTGTGTTGCCTAACTCTATTCGTAGGGTCGTCCTGAGTGTTTGCTTAACTTGCAATATGCCCTTTAATTTCACAGCCCGAGATATTACATCATTTTTAGTGAACATTGCGGTTTCTCGGAAAAACAAACGCACGCTGAAGGTTGAGGTAATCATTCGTCACCGTTGTGGCGCCGTGGTGGTGTGTGCGTGTGTTTTTCTATGGAGTGGTGGTGTAACAGTTAGCGTGCTGGGTTACGAACCTGGCGACCAGAGTTTGATTTCGACTCATGGCCAACAACACCATTATCTGAACCGGTCCTGGGCCTCCCGTAGGTCGACTCAGCTACAAATGAGTGCCTGGTGCAGTGTCTAAACATCGCCACTCACCACCCACCCTCTCATGTGCCGGCCTTCATACGTGCTCGCTAAAAGCACTTGCCCCAAAAGTCTATTGAGGCTCTGCAGGGGATCTTTGTCTTTATGCTTACACATAACACTGCACGCATTCATACTTACCAAGGGTACTCTCCCAATATCCGATTATCTTGCATTTATCTTCCCCCTGTTTCACGACTTCATCGTTTGTGTCGTTGTAGAGAATATATACGTATTGTGTATTAAAATAATTTTGCATCGAACCAATGTCTGGCAGAGAGGGGAGGTTCCTTGCCTCTGAACACCTGGCAATTCACCAGCATTGCTTTAGGCAGGCCTGATTCCTGCTGATGAGTTTAAGTTTAATTTACATTGAACCAGGTGAAGAGACCCAGGGTACTGTCTCATATACAGGAGTGGCCCGGGTCACTTTAAAAATTACAAATATAAAAAAAGAACTGAATGCTGAGACCGGTCCAGAGTTCGCTTGCATTGAGGGAATTCTGCTGAAGAAAATGCAAGGCTGCATGGCCGGTGGGATGTGTCATCTTTTAGTTTTCTATGCGGAGAGACAGCTATGGGAAGGAGACGTCTTGTATGCTTGGTGAGCACGTGTCCTAAATCGCACGTCGGGGCAGCGATTGCGACGTGCATTTACTCGGTCGTTCGATGTCGCGTGCTCTCGTTCCGTTTTTCCCTGCACTCATTTGTTGTTGTTGTTGTTGCTGCTGCTGCTGAAAAGGCAACAACAATAACAACAACGTCGTATAAGGACTGGCGGCAGGGGCACGCCGACGCCGTGCGCCCAAACTGTCGTCCGTTCGCCGGCGCCCGTTTAGGTAATCGCTGGCACGGAGTTCATAGCCCGTGATGATGACGACGACGTGGCACGTGGCAGCGGTGACGCACAGGCAGAGAGACGTCGACGTTGGGCTCCGTGGTGCAGCAAAAAAAAATCAGCCCGGACAGTCACAGAGGCTCCGTGAGCACACGAGCCCTCGCGGCGCAAGGCGCGCGTGGGATCAAACGGGAACTTTGAGTCACTTCCAGCCACACCGCACCCACCCCATGTGCACCCCTCCGTCTGCTAGCCGCCTCCTCCCCCCCCCCCCCTTAAAGACAAAGTTCCCCCGTGTAGCCTTAATAGACTGTTGGGACAAGTGCTGTAAGCGATATCTTTCATAGCGATATATTTCTGTTGCGTGTGAATGTAAGTACACGCATTCATTAGTGAAGGGTGGGTGGCCAGCACCACGTGGCGATGTTTTGCGCACCGCACTACCAGGTACTCATTTGAGGTTGAGTCGACCGAGGGGAGGCCCAGTACCGATTCAGATAATCGTCACTGTTGTGCCGTGAGCGGGAATCGAACTCGGGTTGCCGGGTTCGTAGGGCAGCGCGCTAACCGCTGCACCACCGCTCCTCATCTGCACCCCTCGCCTGCTCACCTCCCCCCCAACCACCAGCAAATTAATGTCTGCTTCCGATTACCTCCGGGGACAGAAAAAAAATTGTACCCCGCCATTGACGTGGGGATCTATGTTTAGAAAGCAATTACAGTATTACTTCTTAAAATAAGAATAATTATAATAAATAATGAAGTGATAGATACTGTGCGACACGCAGATTTTTCGTCGACACGGATTTGATGCGTAGCTGTGACCGCGGTGGTTAGAGCGCACTTGCGCCGTGAAACACGGGCGAGCGGAGTTCGATTCCCGGCCGTTGAGTATCGTCAGCGGCGAATAAGATCTGTTACCGGTCCCCGGTCCTGCCCTTCTACAGCATTGCGAAGTTTGGTCAAACAACCCCCCGTGACTGCCTGTGGGGGCATGCCTTCGTGCAACAGTGGATGGACAAAGCAGATGTGAAAATGTAACGATAACTTTCGCAGCGATATATGCTTTTTGCATGTGAATGTGAATATGTGCATTCATGAGTGGGGAGAGGTGGTCAAGTAATTAGGGGCACAATTCACTCCAGTCACGTGGTCATCAGTGGCCAGTTGACTCCTTATCACTCTTCAATTGCTGCTACCGTGGTTACTATTTTCCCGTGAACTTCACTCATTGAGTTCTCCATCCATGCTGAAGACTTAGTCTGGTATATTTTAACACGTAGGCTTTCGCGACCAATATTATTCATAATATAGGTTTTTGGGTCAGATCGCGTTATTTATAAATGTGTCGTAACCCTCCACCACCCGACACGGCCAAACAGTAAAAAATGTGTCACGTTTTTCAAAGGACAATATTCACTTCTTTAGCCCACCGGTGTGTTGAAGAGAGAATCAACAGCATTTAAAATTTGAGTACGACGTTTCGCTGATAATTACAATCAGCTTCATCGGGCAAGAATGGTGAAGCTCTCCTGTTGCTTCCGGTCTTAAATAGAGCAGCAGCAGCAGGGTGACGTCATCATTTAATTCAATCTGGTGCAGTGATTCGAGGCAAAGAGGGGGAGGGGAGTATTGTAATTATATAGATTGGTAATCTGGTATGTACGTTGAACTTTTTTCCCCTACGTATGTGGCGTGCTCATCGCATGTGCTGATCCCAGCCACCAGAGTTTGATTCTGGGCCGCACTCCAAATGGCACTTGACAATTGAACCTGACCTGGCACCGCCCTCCTCCCTTACGTTAACTCGGCCAAAAATGAGCACGGATGGGTCGGGGCTTTGCAGTCGGGGGATACAAAGGCATCTCAGGCATGGTGTTGTCCTACAGCCCCCTTTGTGTGTTGCACCAACCTAGATGCAAGCGGTGCTTGCTAACAGCACTTATACAATAACAGGCAGTGAGGTGAGTTTATTTTCTTTACTCAGTTACAAAAATCCTTGATTACATTTTAGAAAGTATTTTTTTTTCTTGAGAGAGGCCAGCCGTGGTAAATTCTCCTTTTCATGCTCGTCAAAAGTAAAAAAATAAGAAGTTTTTTGAGTGTTTAGTTCTCATCTACAAAGAAATATATCGTAGATATAAAACATAAAACACACACAGACACACACAGACACATACTCAGACGTCGCCTTTTGGTTCCCGGTCTCAAAGTGGCTTTGTTGTGGGGGCGGGGGAAAGAGGAAATTGCTTTTTTTTTACCATCAGTCTCATTTTCGAACTGCCGCCCGCCACGGTTTTGTCCTTTATGACTGTTTACGTTGCACATCACAGGGACCTCGGGGCGCCGTTGTAATCTGTGCGATTATTGTCGTTGTACCGACGGACGCTCCCGTCTGCCCTCTTCCCAGGTGAGCGTCCGTACCAGTGCCAGTACTGCGACAAGGCGTTCAGCAAAAACGACGGGCTCAAGATGCACATCCGAACACACACCCGGGTAAGAGGAAACAAAGCATTTTCTCACAAAGCAAAGGTGTCAATCGAGTTCTACTCATGTGGTCCCAACACACGAACGCACACGCAGCCACCGGATCACAACGCGCCTCCAACTGTTACTCTACGACTCGGCGAAACAAACAAAGTGCGTCACAATCCGGGGAACATGGTTGCATAGGTTTTTGTGTTGTGTAGCTTCTCTGAATGCGTGTTCGCGCGGTACAACCCAAACAAACACATATCACAGAGCCGCGCAATGAATCTGACCGCAGACATGTCTGCTTTTAGGAATGATTTTGTAAACTCGCTTTTGAATGTTAACATTTACTTTAGGACGTAACAGAAAATATCACTTGCATTGCACGCGTTCATTTAGAATGAGTGAGCACCACTTTGTAGGGAAGTCAACAGTAGATGACTTAAGGACAGACTCAGCCCCGCCATAGGAATGTATAATCTCCACCATTGGCTCAGTGAGGGCTGTAAACGAAACATAAGTAATGCCTCAATGCCCATTTCAGCAGGAAATCACTTGGACTATTTAATCAACATCATCAGCTATTGTCTATCTACCGCTGGCTGAAGTGTTCCCCATGCGACGACTATTCTCTCACCGTCATGCGACGCGTACACAACGTAGATATATATACACTTGTGCATGTCCTGCCTTTGAGGGCACGCGCGCATTTTTATCTTCAAGCCCGACTTTGCCACTCTGGAATTGGCAATGTCAGACGGCTGCAATTTCATCCGCTTTTGCTTTAAAGTTCCATCGCCGTCGAGAGCGTTTCGCGCAAAATCGCTCCCAGTTTAAAGGTTAATCTTTTCGCAAAGCCGACGCGGCGCTTAAAAATAATGGGATGGGCCCTTCTGTCTGTGCTCTTGGCTCCCGGTTCAAACGTGCGCATGGCACGTTGACGTCGGCGGTCGAGCTGCCACCCATAGCGACGAAGAGCAGTGCTGGACCAGGCCCCGAAACCACAATCTGTGCTTGTGTCGCCCCGATTCCGCTGGCGGACCGCAGGCGTCTTTCAGCACGCTAATGCCTCGTTCTCATGACATTATGTCGAGTTGCAGCACAAGTAAACAGACACTGTGTCTCCGTCCCATATTTGTCTGTCCGCGTAAAAATAATAATATATTTTTTTGCACGCATCCCATCAGCCAGCCACAGCATGGCCTCCTCTCTTAGGAGCGCTTTAGACATATGCGTTTGGAGTATTTGGCCGTTTTAAATTTCCACGTGGTAAGCCACTTGGTCGAGATATCTATCATTCGTGATCGCCAGGTCGCTTCTGAAATAGGAGCTACATAGCTCAGTGGGCCTTACCTGATAAAATAAATATAGATAAATAATATATACATATTTTAAGCAGCATTGGTTTTAACGCAACCAAGCTCCGGCCAGGTTTCGACATTCAGACTCTCATAGGCAGAGTGAGCTTTGCTTAAGCCAACTGCTGCTAAACCGCCGGACGTTTAAAGGCAGGGAAAACCTTTCACCATCAGACACGGGCCCTCGATCGATGCGGAGCTATCGCGCGCAACCGTGGAGAATGCGAGTAACGACATTAAAGAATACACACGTGACTTGTGCTCTCCACGACGACGTGTGATACTCATTATTGTTATGACGTGTCATTTATATAGTTAGAGGCTTTGGATCCGATGGGGGAATCGTTCCCGGTCGACCGGTTCCTCCTGTTGGCTACCCCCCCCCCCTCCTGCCTGACATTAGCAGCAAGAACCCTCGCTAAGCTGACAATTCATCACATCGTCCGAGGCTTTTGTCCTTTGTAGTGTCATGTCCTTCCCAAGTTCACTTTGCTTTGAAGACGAATGGAGATTGCTCCCCCTTGTTTGCCCAAGCGTTTGTCACGACGAAAAGAATAAGAAGAAGTGATTTTCAGCTCAGGAGATCATTGGAGGAGGTATTGGGGATTATTCTCCTGTTCACAGCCGTGAACCAAGTGGTGGGAAATAACAAGGTCCTTTGGCAAGTGGTGAGTCTATCTGTAGGACAACCGCTGTTAACTTCCCCCATAGAGTGGTGCTTGTTTTGTCGACCCTTGGAGAGATGATGATGGGCTGAGTCAACCACCCGTGCCCCCCAACCAGGATTTAAGTTTGCAGCCTTCTCATTGCGAGCCGCTCGCTTTACTGATAATTTAGTGCATGGGGTAGGTGGATCACACAGAGATAGAACCATCGTCCTTGAGACACTACCTATGTATCTACAGGAGGATGAGTGGTAGTGGAGTTTGATTCCCGCTCACGACCAACATGATGAATATCTGAACCAGTCCTAGGCCTCTCCTAGGTCGACTCAGCCTCAAATTAGTACCTGGTGTGGTGTGTAAACATCGTCACTGGGGAGACAGAGGCGGCCGGGGGTGGTGCTGGCTACCCACCCCCTCGTGTGCCTTGCCAGCCTTCATAGGTGCTCACTAAAAGCACTTGCCCCAAAAGTCCATTAAGGCTCTACAGGGGATATTTGTCTGTGTATATATATACAGGCCAGTCTGTATGTGGTAAGTGGCACAGAAAATATATTTGGTCTATCTGAGCAAAGATTACATTTTATTCTGTTGTTGGCTATGAATACATATTTTTCTTCTGAGACACCTCTGAATTAAAACTCCAGTGTGCTAAACATTGTACCATGGCAGTACCCCCAAGTTTATGATGTTTTGTATAATGTATTTGTATTTCCTTGGTGAGCCGGATTGGCAATGCCATCATGGGTCCGGCCAGTGTGTTTTGGGCTGGTCATCCTTATATTGGGCCAACATTTAACCAACGTTGATTCCCACCACGTACAAACGTTGGCTAAACGTTGCATATTTACTGGGTTGCCAGATGAGAAAAGCCTTTTAAGTCTGAATAAAGAGTTTAGCAATGGGTCCTTTAATGGCGCACACCACTGAATGCTGGGTAGGCTTTCACATCAACAGTAGGCCCAAGCAACAACCAAAATATGGTGGTTCGTTTCTCTCTCATTAAAAAGTAATTTTAATCAGGACTACATTTTCCAGTGTATTCTTAGTCAAGGTTTTTAGAGTTTTAATTTCAGTTGCATTCTTGAGCAGTAACTTCACATAATTCTAGTTTTAATCAAAGGGAGAAACACATGTCAGCTCAGGTTGCAGGTCCTTTATTAGTGAAACAATTAGCAACTGCTAATGTGGAATGGCAGAGATCGCCCTGACTAATCTGGACAGGCTGCTTTGAAAAAGGGCTGTCAGCGAGCACCTATTAAGGTCAGTGGGGCACCACGAGGGGATGGCGGGGCTGGAGTCACACATGTTACAATCTGCTACTGGATGAGGGCCTCCCTATGCTGTGTGGGGGGGGGGGGGGGGGGGGTCATGGGGGTTATTTGACTTTGGCCAGTGTTGGTCGGTGAAGGCAGGGATCATTGACATTGGAGTAGTGCAGTACAACAATGGATGTTTCGTGCACAACCCCCTTCTGACAACATATGGCCTTGCTGCAGCCTATGTCACGTGTTGTACAGCTTCTGAAATCTGATGAGGTTGGGTCAACTCTGGCCACTGTAGTCATCGGAATCACATGAGGCTACCTTCATGTGTTCACTGCGCGAGTAGCCAGCGCACCCGTTTAATCTTTGGGAGGCCTTCGGGGGGCCCAAGCTACATTCAGCCACCAGTTTGCATTGTACGGGATGTGGGACTCAAATACGAATTTCTGGGATGATAGCTTAGCATTGCCAACCACTGACATAGCACTCCCTGCTCCTACAGGCGAGCCCAATAACCACACGCGTGCACCGTGTATAAGCGGTGAGCTCTGCGCTGCACCATGCGGAGTTCAGAGTTCATGCACCATCTATAGCGGTGAGCTCTGCACTGAACCGTGCTGGATATCTTTGCAGCCAGGGCAGCTGGGAATGAGCTGAGGTGTGAGAGGCCTTGCCGTGGGGCTGCCTGCCGGGCACATGGGGCAGCATGCGTGAAACCCTGAGCAGAAAGCACACCGGCCTAGGCAGGGAGTAAGGGCAGTGATAGGCTAATCAACTGGTGATTGTGCATAACACCCGGATGGCCGGAGGTCAGAAGCATCGTCATCGTTAACCATAGTCTATCCACTGCTTGGTTGAAGGCTTCGCCAAAGCCGCCCCCATCTCTCACGGTTGCACATTGCAGCGAACGTTGATGGCTGTACTGTGTTGTTGAGCCGTAGTGAGGAATACATCAGTCTACAGTTGTGTCTTTGCCTCGCTGCCAGCTGTTTGGGATGACCACATTTTCTCAACCCTTTGAGTGGGTCTCAAAATGACAAAATTTGCCACACGGCCCGCTCCGTTGAGCTGGTGGTCTGGATAAGGCCGACAGGTTTTGTCCATGCAACGCTGCACGCCTGTGTGCACGTTACGTCTATTGCTCAACGGTCTAGCGGTGCGCCAATAATGTCGAGCGTCTGCTGATGCCAGAACATGCTCCGTGGATAGAATCCCCCTTCACTCTGCTGTCCCAATACGGAACTTCCTCCCTGATGAACACATTGTCGGCAAGATCACCGATTCTGGTTTTCAGGCCTTCAAATGCTGAGCACACACACGGGGCATCTCCTAACTTCACACACCTTGTAGCAGTGAGTCTTTGAGATGCAGTGAACCAATGATTATGCCAATTAAATGTACTAATGTTTGATATGGCTGTTGTTCACAATTGTACCCCAATAAAAAAAAACTCCATGGATTTCATCGCTTCATCTTCCAGATGGATGGCCTCTAATTTGTTGGTCTCCACCACCGGCCATCATCCCTTCTAGCAGCCGTGTTCTGCCCGAGCCAACTTCGTTGTATTGGCATTCAACGTGTGGCCTGGAATTGGTTTTGATAAGATGGAATTGCTGAATGTCGGGAGAGTATTCTAGATCCCGTATGGCTTCTGTGGCTGATTGGCTAAAATGCTGTAAGTTACTTTACGTCCATTGTTCTCCTGTCTCATGCAACATTGCATTATAAGACTAAACTGGACAATTTTATTTGTCTGCCTGAACTTATTATTCTAATTTCATAATGTATGGAACTCCCTGCATCGTGTTTTTTTTTACTTTTATAGATTGGTTTAAGCAATATGGCTTCTCTCACGTGGGTATTTGTATTTATAACGCATATGCATAATCCATACGGCTGTATGTGCATAATGGCTTGCAGTGTGATTAGTGTATGGATATAGCTGACAACGTGATGTGTGCGTGTTTGTGTTGGTTGTGTCTGTACGTGATGCGTGTTTGGCGCGTCTTGTTGTTTAGGGTGTTTATCGTCCGCGTGTATGGATATAGCGCAAATATGCGCACAAAGTTTTTTGGGTTTGTTTGTGCGTCTGTGATGAACGTGAATGCGGGGCACTCGTGAATGGTCATGTGTTGTGACGTCGTGTACGCGTGACATACTGCATCAATGCGTGTGAATGAGTTACGATGTTGGGAGCATGCACATTTGTAAGGTTTGCACGTGGGGACTTAGAATGAAATAGGAGCACACTGCCTCAGTGGCTATCGCAGGAAAGCGTCGCTGAGTCCAAAGATTTTTTTTCCGGAGGGTCCTGCTATGTTAAGGTGTTTGACCAACACCAACCACATTGTGTGGTTTTTTTGCAATATCTGGGTAGGTTCCTTAGAAGCAGAAGGAAACCAATCAATTGATCTTCATTTTTCATGCAATATTGCCCTCAATAAAGTAGGCAATCGGTGCACATTACAGCAGAACGCGAACGGTACAGGGGGCAACATATAGAACATAGGAGGCCGAACACTTAAACTCCACACAGACATGTGCCTGATTCAGCAATCGAACCCAGGTCCTTGTTGCTGTGAGGCACAGGCGTTAGACTGCGCCACGGTGCCGATGCAGTTCATGCACTGTGGCCGAGGGCCACAGCTTTATAGCTCATCGGATTCCTCCAGTAAAAATAAAATATTCTGACTGATTCTGTTACGCGGCGCCAGCCGTCACCGTTCGTTTCTCCTTCCCGGCGGCGTGACGCCTCGTTAGGTGGATGTCCATCTTTTAGCAGGTGAGGCCCATTGAGCAGTGTAGCTTTTTTTCAGAAGCGACCTTGGCCACAACGAAGTGGCTTACCACGTGGAAATTTATAGCAGCCAAATACTCGGAGAAAAATCTACGCGACCACAGAGAGAACATGCAAACTCCGATTACACAGACATCAGGGTCGGGATTGAACCCACAACCTTCTGAATACCCGGCGAGGGAGATAAAATCTCGCCACCGCAGCTGTCCTGCGGTGCGGTCACGTTTGTGCTGATGATGCTGTTACTGCTGTATGAATGTCGAACTACTTTCACATTGTACGCAGCTAACCACACTAATCGGAGGTGTGGATGAAGGACAACAGACTAAACACAAAAACCTGTTCTCGATAAATTCGTTTTCAATCTAGTAGATTTATAAGTGCATAGATCCAGTGGCTTCCTCATATCAGAAGGAAGAGCATTCCAGACGGCCGCAGAAGCACATCTGAAAGCACGCAATGCAGTGACCGGCGTTGTTCGATGGTTGGCCAAAGTCGCTGCTGCGAGGATGACTGGAGTTCACGTGATGGTTTATGCTCTTTGATGAAATCCGCAAGCTATTGTGGTTCATTTGCTGCTGATGATGCCGATGATGCTGATGCTTGTGTGCGAATCTCTCTCTCTCCGTCTCCCCAGGAGAAGCCGTATCAGTGCTCCGAGTGCAACAAGGCCTTCAGCCAGAAGCGAGGCTTGGACGAGCACATGAGAACCCACACGGGGGAGAAGCCCTTCCAGTGCGACGTGAGTGCTCGCTGCCTCTGTTTGCCGCATTCCCACCTCTTCCCAAGACAGTGTGGCCAGCGTGGATGAGGAGGCCAAAATATGCCCGAGAGGAGCTCTCCAGAGCTCCGTCTAACGACGGCCTTGTCCACCGGCGGGAGCAAGTAGCTTTGCATGGCTGCACATTGTGTAGTGAAACGGTTTCTGAAATTGAACAACCATCGAGCAGTAAATCAGCAAAGTTTACAAGTGAGGCTGTCACTTTCTCTCGTAATACACTTCCTAAATTACATTATGTGTCTACGATAGGCACTCGCTGTACACAAGTGCAAATATCCCAGTTTGGTCAGAGAGAAGTGTTGACATTGGGCAGACGTGTTTGTGCAACAACATCCATCCCACGTATATTTATGCGGCGCACGGCTCATTTACGACGACGCTCCCACGGACGACGTCATCCGCTGCGTTCAGGCCACCAAAAGGGATTTCCAAGAAACTCGACGTTATGCACGGACTTACGACGTCCTCCATGCGGTCCAAGGCTTAGCGAAGAGAGGATAATATTGTTTTGTGTCATGAACGGACGTGTATACTGACGTGGGAAAACGCAACAAATTCGTCAAAAACGCTTCTCTCTTAAAAGGATAAACACGTATTATACACAACACTTTGGTCAATGGTCCTTACACACAGCAGAGAGAAGTAGAGGCCAAAGAGATTAAGTGGATAGAAGTTGGAGATGGCATTATACACCGATTACCAGCCATACATTGGCATATGAACAGTTGGCGCCATCAGTAGGTATTCTGTAACAGACAATACTGCAGAAATGCACAAATCCATGCTTATTAGACTGATTCGTATGAACAATTACATTCTTAGGGAGTTGCTGACACTCGAGTCCTGGGTAACTGTGTTGCAGTTTTGTGTCTTATTGAAGAGAGGCCCATACAATGAGTGGTGTGTCTTATTGAAGAGAGACCCAAACAATACATGGGAACGTATTGAAGACAGACCCGACAATTTGTGCTAAATATGTTGTCAACATTGCAATGTCCTTTGGTTGACCGATCATTTTTTTTGGTAACCCCCACCCTCCCTCCCTCCAAAAACACCCCTAGAGTACAAAACACGGTAATTCTATCCCCATCTGAAACCCCGTTGAAATGTTGAAATTTCGGAAATAATCATGGCATCACCCAGTGTTTGACCCCCTTAACAAGAGGAGGTCACGTTTCAAAAATGTCAATTTTATTTGATTCGTGGCAATCGCTGGAGGACGCCCGATAACGAGGATTAATTTTCATACGTTCGGATTTATAATTTGACAATTTCCATCACGACGTACGTGACCCCCGAAGATGAGGTCACGTTTCAAAAGTCACACTTTTTTCTTTCCCTTGCAGAGTGACCGCAAAACCACCCCGAGTAGACGTTCGCTTGACTCCAGGCCCATTGGTAACGTGCCTGAAACATTTGGCCATTGCCCACTCAAAAAATGTAACGTTCCCATATTCGCCGCCTCATCAAAGTCAGCTCCAAAGTTGCGTATATTTAGTCTTTCTCATGGCGTTACTGCATCCCAATTGTAACAACAACAACAAACCGTATGGGGTATCGTTCACTTTAATTACGACTGCGCAGGTTTTTTCACGGTCGCGCCGCACAACCGCAACTTGCTCTTGCGTGATGTCCGTCGTTTCGCTCCACGTGCCTCTGGGAGCGTAATAGCAGGCGCTGCATTTGAACGACGCACCGGTTACAAACTGAAAGCACATCCGAGAGCAATTCGCCTCTTTAATTGTTATTAATTTTCGCCGCATGGCTCATTCATATATCGCATATACTCACATAAAATAAATAAATAAAAATTACTAATCGCTTGCTTGGTTATACAGCTGTTGGTTGGTATTGCCTGCACGTGCAGTAATGCGTATATAGCGATGCAAGCGAGAGTGAGGGAGACTGCCAGTGTTTTACATCGACAATCTGTCGTGTAGGAGGGCGGTGTGCGTGTGCGAGTCTGCGCGGTGTAGCAGGAGCGCACTCCGCTTACGGACCCGGCAACCCCAAATCCATTGCCGCCCCGCGGCCACCAACATTGGTGACGAATATCTGGACCAGTCCCTGGGGCACCCCCTAGGTCAACTCAGCCTTAAATGAGTACCTGGTGCGGTGTGTAATACATGAGCATTTGGATGTCAGCATTTGGGTGATCAAAGGCAAGCCGGGCGTGGTGTTGGCCACCCACCTGCACATTTGCTGTGTAGGCCTTCACAGGTGCTCGCTAACAGCACTTGCCCCAACAGTGTCATGGCTACAAAAGGAGATTTGTCTTTGTGTGTGTGGGTGTGTGCGTGGGTGTGTGTGTGTGCAGCTCGATGTCAACATTGGCATCAACCTGTGCATGAAACGCTTTGTTTGCGGGTCGATCATCGATTGTAGCATTAATTGGATTACACCCTCGTATGCATTTCCCGCGGGCTCCCTGCAACCCGTGACCTATTGCAAACAAGGGCGTATGGGTGAGGGGGCTTTCACAGGCCGCGTGATGCTATTGGTGGTGTTATTGAATTTTTGGTCGCGGGGCAAAGATCAGGTGTACACTGCGAAATTGGGGGAATGCATACAGATAATACATATCAATGTGTTTTTTTTTCTCTGTGGCCATAAAGGAACTCTGATGGAGGAAACGCAAGGCCTGTGTTTGAGAACTGCGATTGATTCGTTTCCATATTCATCACAATTTTATTCCCCCCCCCCCCTTGTTAATTGTGTGTCAGTGTGCGCATTTACAGGTTATTGTTTTACGTTTCTAAATCACAGTTGCTGAGCCAAAGGCTGAAAGGCCCAAAATGCCAAACAGCGAGCAACAATCAAAGTTCTAAATAGATACGGGCTAAAGTGTTTCTTAAATAAAAAAAAACGTTATTATAAGAAGATGGGTGCAGAGATGATGGGAGGGAATTCCAAACTGTCAGGTGGCCTGCCACAATCAGCATCATTGAAAGTATTACTAGACAAGAGCCAATAGGTTTATTGAATCGAGCAAGGCTATTTATAACGTGGGGAAGAGATAGGAGTGCATTCTTAAAGAATCAAAGGCACCCAGTGGTCAGCAAACAAACGGCACCACTGCGGAGGGTGTTGGCAGGCAGGCGCTGACACGCCTTGCTTGACTTGAGCGAGGTCGTCGGAGAGCAACTTGGGGAGAAAGAGACGATGGGAATGGGAGTTCCGAAGCGAAGCGGCAGGAGGGGAGGAGGCAGTCCTTGCACTGGCTCTATCTCCCACTCTCCTCCTCTCCGACCAAGGACACGGGGGGGCGGGGGGGCAACTTTAAAGCCGAGCCACATGTGTTGCTAATCCCTCCGATTGTTCCGGTGCCATCGCAAGTAAAGGAAAAATAATATTTATTGTTTGCGGGCGGGAGGAGGTTGGGGGGCCACTCGGGCTGCTGTTATCGAGCTCGTGGCGTGCGTTGGATCTGGCCCGGGATGACTGCGCCCCCAACAGCCCCTACAACGCCTGCTGATTATCAAACCCCAACTGCGAACGATCACGCGTCCTCCATCCTCCTCCGTCCGCCCCGTCGCCCACCGGGCGCCCAGAACCTGCCACCGCCACCGCGGCCGTGGGGCTTTTAGCGAAACGCCGGCGCATCGATCGCAGCGCCTCTCCGAGTTATTAAAAAAATGCAAGCGCCTTCTTGTATTTATTTTAGCCGTCGTGTTACATGTGTGGCTTAATAACAACAGCAACAAAAAAATGTTAGCCGTCCGGTAAAAACGAAAAAATAAAAAAAACCGCGTGGCTCTTGGGACAGGAGCTGATCGTCTTACGGCGACGTTTATAATGCTGCGCAAATGCAAACGAAATCAATTAAGGCGCGGGCTTTAATCAAAACCACCACGTGTACACCCCCCCCTCGCCAAAAAACAACAACGCAATAATTGTTTTAATTGAGCAATTAAAAAATATGTGTATTATTAGGTTGGTTAGTGGGCTAATCCATTATATCGGAGAAACCCGCGATTTCAGTGCCACCTGATTTTAATTCCGGGCGAAGAAACGCGAGATCCTTTAGTTGTGCTCGATTTCCTTTTTTTTTTGTTTATTTTGTTCATTAATTTGACCTCCGTGGCTACCAACGGTCGTAGCCTGCGTCTAGGCAGTGCACTGTGCAGGTGTCGTTATGAACGATAAACATCGCAACCATGTGTACAGCCCTGCTGTCATCGTCTTTATCGTGCTTGTACCCTTGGCTCTGCTTTTATTTTATGATGAGGGGCGCCGCGGTGGCGAGATGTTAACTCCCTCGCCTGGTATGCAGGATGTTGTGGGTTCAATCGCGACCCTGGCGCCTGTATATTTGGAGTTTGCGTGTCTCTCTCTCCCCGTGGTAGTGGAGATTTTTTTCTGGGTCCTCCAATTTTTCCCTCCACATTTAGAAACGTGCATTTAGAGTGTTTGGCTGCAAGAAATTTCCACGTGAAACGCCACTTCGTTGAGCTATCATTTGTGGCTAGGGCACTTCTGAAAAAGAGCTTTATAGCTCAGTGGGCCCTAACTGGTAAAATAAAATAAATAGTTTAAGTTTTTATTTTATTGTCTTTGCAGCATTTAGTTTTATTCTCTGCCATTTTGGCCACCCTGGCCAATTTAGTAAGTACTTTCTTGGTTTCTCTTTAAATTCTCACCTGGTTATACGAATTAAAAATCAGCTTGGCTAACTTTCTGTCGGCCGCGGACAGGCAAGGTCAACGAAAACGCACTACGCAAGTTAAACGTTGGTCGTTTTTAAAATACGCCTCGGCTGTAAACATCGCTTTTCAAGTTCATTTGTTAGCAAACACGAACTGCAGCTGTCGTTCCAGCAAGTTAGAGCTCTGCTAGGGTGGACCCTGCTGTTGGTGACCGTGCATCGCTACGGCAGTTGCTGTGATCGCTGCGAGGGAGCTCTTGAGCAATGTGCATTGTTCTGCGGGGGTCGTGGATTCAAATGGGGCGAGGGGGATTGAACTAGGCTGGGCTAATTCCCACAGCTCCCCCGGTCCACGTGTAAATCCCTCGTCCGCGGCCTCACGCGGCCCAGCTGCCACAGCGAGCCGCGATGCTCCATCGAAATCGTCGATGAAGTCTCCGTCTCGCTGAAAGTGTTTGCAGGGGCAACATCTGGCTGCCCACTGGCTTCACGTCCATCCACCCGCTAGGATAAAATGATGTTTTCAGCTTGTTCTGCGGCAGAGTTGGGTGAAGTCTCTTATCATTCATGGTCGTGTTTCCATCAATGAAACATACCCCAATACTCGTAATCACTCCACTGGCTCGCAATGCAATCGCAGGTCAATTTCAAGATCACACTCACCCTCTTCACAGTTCTACGTTGACTCGCCCGTGCCTACATCTCTCCTCCTCCCACTCTACTCATTTCGCCAGTGGGGAGGTGGCTTCTTCTCCCCTGCTGAAGCTCCCTGGCCCTCTTCTCACGCAAACATCTTTTCCCCTTCTGCCTATGTCTCTCTTTCTTGAACCACCTCTTTCCCTCTATAAAATACATATCCCTGCTCTTCTAGAGTCAGAACCTTAACATGTAGGTGCATTTAGACACCACATACCAATCGGGATGGATCGGTGTATCCACTTTTAAGTTGCCCTCCCCCCCTCCCATTGTCCTTGGTCGGCGAGGAGGAGAGAGTGTGAGATAGAGACACTGAACTATGAACCCAGCGACCCAATTCGGAATCCGGATCACAGCAGTACATACCGGCAAGAGGCGCCTGAATCGAACATTCATCGTTTCGCTCCATGCGCTGGCAGCTTCTTCATTTCGGTTGCCAACGAAGCTGTGAGCCGGCACGGGGAGAACAGAAAAAAAGTCAAGATGTGGCACAGCCCTAAAACAAACTGCGAACATCGACGCGGCAGAATTTACATCGCGGTCCCGTAAACCCACGTTCACGTCGCGATCGCGTTTGTGCATTGCCGTGTCCGCATGCAGGTGTGCGACCTGTCCTTCAGCCTCAAGAAGATGCTCATCCGCCACAAGCTCACGCACAACCCCAACCGGCCCATGGCCGAGTGCCGCCTGTGCCACAAGAAGTTCACGCGCAACGACTACCTGAAGGTGCACATGGAGAACGTGCACGGGGAGACGGAGTGACCGCGGGGTGGTGGGGGGGGGCCCCCCCCGTGCGCGATCGTCGCCCACCCCTCACCCCCCCTCGCCCCCTTCCCCCTACACTCTCGGCGCTGATTGGGCGAGACCGCACACGTGGACTGCGGCACGTCCGCCGGGTCAAACTGAACGCGAGGAGGCGGTGGCGGCCCCCACGCTCGGTGGCGTCGTTGGTTTTTATGGGGGTTTTGTTGTTGGGTCAAGGTTGCCGAGCACATTGCCGAAAGTCTAAAAATCGCCGAGCGGCCAGCCGCAAAACGAACGGCGCTGTCAGAGGTGTTGATGGACAACGAGTGATTGCGTTTATTGAACTGAGAGCAAGGTTTTGAGAAACCGGGAGAAGTGAAGATGGAAGGGAATTCCAAAGTGGAGCAATGCTATGGAAACACAACCAAGCTGGCATTAGGGTGTCCTGGTGCAAGGAATAAAATGAGACCCCTTGCCCGCTGCCTTCCCTCCCTCTTCATGGCCCAGCACCTGGGCACGTCCTGCCCCGTGGACCCTGGTGCGGTTGCACCAAGCGTTGGCGCCTCTGAGATGACATATCATGGGAAGAAACAACAGCAACGGAAGGGAGAACGCCACGTGAATGCATTGTCTTGAGCGGTATTTTATGATGCTAATGACCAAAACCAGGACTTTTAAAGTCCCGGGAAGGCTTAGAGTTTCTCCAGGACAAGCTACCTCCTCAGAAAACCAGGACAGCCGGCAAACCCCAGTTGCACCGCATGGTCACATGATAGCTATGCGACTGCCCGTACGCGTCTTTGGGTCTCTGTTGCGCTTGGCATGAGGGATGGCGGTACGCGTGCCCACATGTGGTCCACATGCAGTGTCACTAAATTTACATGCAATTATATTTCTAGTTTCGCCATTGCCATTATTTTTTAGAAAATAAAAAAACCAAGTGTATTATTTTGCACGGTGGTGCGGGTATTGGCGCACTGTGCGATGAACCCAGCGACCTGAGTTCGATTCCAGGCCAAGCCTAACATCAATGGCGAGTGATGTCAGAATCGATGTTGGGCACTTCCTTTCACGAACGTGCACTGACCAGCGTGGTGAAGTATAGTCATACAACCTCCATGACTGGCATGATGTGGGGGAGGCCCTCATCCAGGAGGGGACTGATAGAGCTCCGTAAGTTATATATTTTTTGCGCTGATGACTTGAGTTGAGACCATGAATTAAATGTACTTGAACACCTGGATACCAGGCCAGGATCTCAGCAGTATAAAACATTAGTAAGTGTTGGCTCAGCACTCTGTCACGTTTGCTACCCCTCCCCTCCCCCCCCCCTGTTCCACCTGCTGTGTTGTTGGATGGAATTTAGAAACCACCAGGATGGAGGGCTTTTTGGGGAGATGAACTTTACAATAAAACAAAAGCATTCCATTTTGTCTGAAGATGGGGAAAGGTGTTATGTTTATTTTGGTTGTCACAATTTGAGAACTCAAGGTACCAGGATGAGTCTCATTTGCAAGAGTGGCATGGGGGCATTCATCTTCCATTTGAGAGCAATGAATGCCGTGCACACAATTAGGTAATCTGTGGGCACTTTTCGAATTTGTCAAAATTTGGACACTTTTTAGTTGGTGCATATTTGCCGGGCGAGATGTATTAGATCAGAAAGGTAGACGCTGACAGAGAAAACGGAACGAGAGTTGAGTGCGCAAAGATACGTGGAGCGTGGAGAGGATGCGCCCTCGGAATTACACCGAGAGACGGAAAGATGGACGCACAGAGATTTTGGAATGGAACAGAAATTGGAGGCTTCGTATTGACCGTTGAGGAAAGTCAGTGGGCTTGGGTGGGATGAATCGCGAAGCAGGGATGTTGGCCAATGGACGAGACTGGTGCTGGAAAAGCAGCTAAAGAATCGAACACACTCGAGAAGATGGTCACCTTGGAGATGGAGAAAAAATATCAGATTTTTAGGTTTTTCGGTAAAGTCACGTAGGTAAAACATTAAAATTAATTAAAATAAAATAAAAATCACGACGTTTCGGAGGCAACACAAGCTTCCGTCTTCAGGTGGAACCGTCACAGCCACGACAGCTGTATCAAGTAAATTACCTACGTGACTTTACCAAAAAAACCTAAGAATATGAATCCTTGCAGTCACGAAAGCTTCAAATCTAGAAAAATATCAGCGCATTTTCTAGTGAGATTTTCTGTTACGTCGCGGGAATGCAAAGGATGGCGATAGATTGGGGAGGCCCTCATCCAGCAATGGACCGACAATGGCTGGTGTTGATGATGATGTAAATATTTAAACATTCTTGCCTCGTGACACTTGTGGTCAGAGAGCATGGCTTCTAATCAATCTCAGTCAGGGGCTAACGCAGCTGATCATCCCTCCAGGTGTGGTAAAATCAGTCCCACTTAATAAGAAATCAACCATCATCTTTAAAATAAACTGACCCTGCCATGGGAATGTGGAATTTCCACCTCTTACTCAGGGTCACCAATGGAGATGAGCACCGCTGTGTTGCTGCGTTGAATGGGAATCTATATTGACATGTTGACGGTTACAAGAGTTAGCATGGCTGGACTCACCACTCTGAGGCACCAAGTTAGATTCACAGTCAAGGTGGGCGGTGCAGTCTCCATCCACCCAGTAGCAAAAATTGGAAGCACTTCAGCACGCGTGGATACTCGATAACCTTAAATCTCCCGACCTGTCTGGCCAGCAAAGACGACGAAACTTCCTTGAATAAGGGAGGGTGGTGGTGGGGGGGAGGCTCTATGAGCATCGTTCTAAGCAAGAAGTATGCGCTTTGATAATTAAAAACAAATGCATGTTACTGCATTGGCAGCGGTGCACATGCACAAACGACACATTTGTCAATAACACTGTGGCCCTGAAGAGGAGAAACAAAAAACAAATAAGCACCGTGTTGGCCAATTGCCCTCCTGCACAGCATGTGAACGTAGAGCGACGACTATTGTTTTACACGGATGTGGTTGTGCGCCAGAGTATTGTGCCAGGAGTAGTGAATTGGTGCATCGTTGGATTTTGACGCCCCTCTCTGCTGTGATGCAGGGTTATTGAAATTGTACCTGTTTTAAACGTCGCCTGTTTTATATTTGTTTTTATATTTTCCTTTTAGGGCAGTGTCGTTAACGAATGTGTTGAGGATTTGTGAGTGCATGATGGACATTCTTCGCCTTCTTAAGCGGCCTCACCACAGTCGGGGTTTTTGGACGTAAAAACACGGACTCTTTTTTACGATTTGTATAAGCTGAAAAGGTGATGATGTTGTTAAAGTCGAAAGGAATAAAATAAATCCGTTTTGGTTTTTACAATGTAAGAGAGAACTCGTGCAAACATTTTTATTTTGGAGTTAGAAATAACGAAGGGGCTGTAGGAACAAGTGTACGGGATTGTAAAGGCTGCAGCGAGGCAGGCTGAATCAGCCCTGGTGCCTATAGCGTGCCAAGCAGAGCCTGATTTAGGCCAATTAGCCAAAATCACTGCCGCGAGCGGTACGAAGCAGGTATTAATGAAATAAAAATAAATTAATTTGCCAAAAAGGATGAATCTGTGATTACTCACGCAATCAAACTGAAAGCCTCAACCTTAGCTCGTATAGCCGGAGGCGCACACATGCTTGATTTGGTGACAAGACCAATGGGTCGGTCTTGTTACTTTGTAAAGTGAACTTTAAAAAAAAATAACATTTCAGAATGAAATGCACACCATCATTCTCTCCTTTGCTTTACAGTGTTACTTTTTTGTGCGCACGTGTGTCCGTTTGTCTTTTGTGTACGAAGCTGTGCTTGGTTTATAATAAATATCACGTACTAAATTAAGTCTGTTTTCGTGGCTTACTTTTAAATGTGCAAAAACATTTGCAGAGATTGCGATTAAGCGTTTATGTAAGTGCAGGTGAAAACCCACATCTGTGGAATGGTGACTCGGTGGTTATCAAACTGCACTAATCAATCTGGCAACCTGAGTTTGAGTTCTGGCCCCAGGTAACATCAGTGGCAGGCCACAAAACAAGGCCACTCGATAAAAAAACCTCTTAAAGTCGGACGTGTTGCGTGGTAGGTTACCCACTCGCAGAGCACGTGGGCGACTGGCATACATGCTCTTGTTATTCACAAAGTTGCGTTCTCTCGTTATTAGAAATTAGTTTTTCGAATGGAATTAAAAGTATAATTTTATTAAAACATTAAATTTAATGTGTTTTTGTACGAAGTCAGCCCTTCCGAAACCATATAGTCACCCGCCACATATGCACGTTGTCGCCATGATACAAATCTTGCTAGACGTTTTTTTCGGGTTTGTACCGTGGTTTTGTTGGGAACGACGTCCGACGTTTTGCTCCACGCTCCCAACGACACGTGCTTGCGATACGTGCGTGGCGCGTCGCGCTGGCCAACACGCGGAATGATTCTAAAACCACGTCACGGAGCTGGAGGGCACAACTGCGAAAACCTGACGCCAAGAGCTTCCATCAACATTCAGGCCCGCAAGTACATTTGGACGGACAATGTTTTGGCTTGGCAGGGTCTTCATCTGCACGGCAATGTATGTCAGTGGAGGTGTGTTGCGTTTCTTTCGTACCGTACGAAGCCAAAAGCCGACAGCGTAGACAGGGCTGTTCCCTTCTCTCACCGTCATCGTCAGCAGCAGCCAAAATCAACCCGCTGCTGGATGAAGGCCTCCCTCGGCCGAGCGGTCGTCGCCCCGCGTCTACCGCCGCTTTAATCTGTCCGGTGTGGGCAGCTGCGGCATACCCCAGTGCCTCTGCACGTCGCTCGCCTGAGACGAGCAGCTGTCGAATTCCATACCGCTCTTCGAAGGCACGGAGCCAAATCTTTTGTCTCGTGCGGCAAATCAGGCGTTCGTCACCACTGTCAGCGGCCGTGTGGAAGGCCAGGGGCCTTCTGATACGGCGCAGGGCCACTGATGGACGGGACCACAGGATTTTGCCTCCTTTGGAGATCGCGCGCCCAGAGACTCGGCCCAGCTGGGAGGGAGTTCCAGGGCACGTGGCTGATTTTGGCATCGGACTCGAGAGGACATCTTCCCGCACGTTGAGCATGCGGTTTGCGATGTCACGGACCGTCTTCGTGTGTCTAATTGCGTAGTGTGCAGGGGGGGGGGGGGGAAATATTCGCTGTCTTCTGCCGTTTGACGACTCCCACCTTCTGTTCGAGTTTAAAAATACGTATTGTTCTTATTTTACTGCCCCTCGGCAATGGTTGGTCATGGTCATGGTCACAGATGGGAATACGTGTCCTATTAAAGTCGAGCTCTCTGTGAGCCATGTATGTCATTTCTCAAATGCGTCAGCAATCACGGCTCTGTCCATGATACTCAAGAACTCTGTATTAGATGCTCCTCCCAGTTGCATCCAATTGTTCACATTCCCTATGCACTTAATTTGCTGTTATCCACGGCTTCTTGTCGTACCTATAATTTTCCCAGTCAAAACATTGATATTGAGTCTCTTGTTTTCTCATTACATGTCCAAGAAGTCTGAATTGCTTTCCACTAATTATTCTTATTCAATTAATTGTTGTACTTGCTATCTGTAATACATCTGTGTTACTCATCTTTTCTATCCATGACATTTGTAGCATCCTTCTTAAAATGAGATGCTTCTAGTTTTCTCTGTCGGGTCTTTATAATTGGCCAGCTTTAATTTCCACATAGGAGAAGAGACCACGTGTAACACTGCAGTAATATAGTTATTGTCATTAATTTCTTATTTTCAACATATAAAAGTCTATACCACTAAGTAAAATAACGACGGAAAATAATCCCGTCAATTACATTAAAGAGTAAATAGACAATATTAATATGAACCCCAAACCCTCCCATCATGGTAACTTCATTTAACACTCTGAGATGAAACAGTATGTGCAGTTGTCTAATAATGAATTAAAGTTATCAGTCACAAATATTATTGCTCACCAATGGTCTATAATCCCAGCCACTGCATCATTGTGTGATATGAATTATGTTATCAATTGAAACTATCAACTTCCAGATCGATTATTTTCCCTATTTTATCTTTGTGAGAAATGTTGACTTAATTATCGTATTGGTAAGTTATTGCACAATTGATACTGCTGCAAAGTATGTGTGTACATTAACATTGTACTGTACATACTCTGTATTATCTGTATGCCAATTTAATACATTAGATGTTTGGGTAATACTTGTGAAGCATCCATGACCCTGGCCAGTTAACAAGCATATGCTTATTTTTTTTATTTGTCAGATCGTTTCATAACTGCGATAAGTTTTTAAAATGCTGTTGAACTCACATGGCACTACTGAGGAATGGCTTGCCCTTGCAATGTCTTCATAAGTCCGAACAAGGCTGTCTTGATTTCTCCACGATGAAGCAGTGCCCATTACCTGAAATGTCATCTCATAGACACACATTTTTCTTTGTGGCAGTGTTATCGACACATTTGTTGTGTTTTTTTATCATTATTAATAATAATTGAGCTGGCGTGTCAGAAAAAAAAATCACACGTTCGTTTATTGCCACCGCTGCTCTGCCCCGTAACTTTCCTTTCTCGGGGGAAAAAAAAGTATTCGACGAAATTGCCGAACGCTCTCGACCTAAATTCCGTGCGAGGACGCTATCCACCCTGATGTCCAGATGCTTGCTCTAGCCGCTTGAGTGCTCCGTCCGAAAGGTCCGCTGAAACGTCTTGACGGACGGTATAATGATGCCCACGTGGGCCGCCAACCCAGGAAGCCAAATCTTTAACCTCTTGACCTTTGAGCTTTGAACTTGTCACACATTATCCTCATCTTGGTTATTTAACTGAAACAAGCGGGAGACTAAAAAGACGTGAAAAATGAACCCAAAATGCAACACAACTCCAGTTTATTAGTGTTGTTGTTGTTATTATTATTGTTGCAAATAGTGATCTACCATAGCCGCTTAACCAAAGGCCCAGAATGCCAGGCGGTCAGCAACAGACGGCACTATCTCACGTGATAGATAGCGGCTTTAATTGTGCCCAGGTTATATGAACGTGTGCAACAACAAAACAACAGGGATGGAATTAAAATGTTGAGCAGTGCAATGAAAGAAGCATAAAGAGTAGTGCACCGACCCGGAGTGTGTTATGAAAACACACTGATGGTAGATATCTTTCACCCAAATCCCTTTTTGAAGACGTCATTTTGTCGATTTTTTACCCGAACATCATATCCAGAACACTGCCTGGGAGTCGCATAGCGAGGCCTTCAGTGTCCCGTAGAGTCAGTGCGACGCTGCCGTGTTGGTGAGCGGCCCGCAGAAGCGGATATCATGGAACTACCTCTCACATGCCTTGAAGCAAATCCCGTAATGCCATGCCTTCGAAAAGGATCAGTTCACTTCAAAGTGTATTTTCAAGTGAAGCACAGTTCGCCGAAGCATGATTAAAGCCAAGGGGAGGAAAAGTTTTAAAAAGGAGGAAAATTCCATCGTGAAATGTGCGCTAAAACCCCGGGTACTCTTCCGTGACATTGAAATAGCGGTGAGCAATCATCGTTTGAAAACGTGTTTTTTTCTCTCTCCTTGAAGGATAAGTGCCGTGTTTATTCGTGGCCTTCGTTATTTTTTTGCGTGCAAACGTTCATAATTTTGGAGCTTTAAATAAATCTTTACAGTTCGTAATGCCGTTCGTTAAAATAAACGTCTGTGTCGGTTTCGACAAGATAGGGTCTGAAATTGTTGGGAAATCACTGGAGTTTATTTTAGTTTGGCAATTACAGGGCATAATTGGCGGGTTGGCAGGATAGACCACCTCCAGCACACACGATAGGCACACACACACACACCATGCCATTCTTATTCCTTATGTACAACCAGTAGCAATTAATCATGCTCCGCACTATATAGCTAATCATCCTCAAATTCGTTTAAACTGAAGTATAAAACACTCACGTGACTAATCACTGCTCATATGTTGAAAAATATCGAACGTATCAAAATATTATACACAAGACAACAGATGTGTAGTTATGTTGCTAGCTACTGGAGCTTGGTTTGAATTATGGTTGGAATACAGACATACCAGGCCCTGTCACAGGAATGTGGAATTGTCACCCTTGGTTAAGAACAGGGTACGCACAGCATGGCTGCATTGTTTCTTCTGTCTCACTCAGCCCTTCATTATTGTTATATTACCTATTTTCCCTACATATGATTTGACTTCATAAGTAAAAAAAAACATGATTTAAGCATTGCTCACATACCTAAAAAAAAAACAGCCGATGTATGAACATATTATTGATGTCGCTGCTATTAATGGAACACGATTGCCTTCATGAAACGTGCTTCGAAGAATATTTTCAATTTAAATGCTTCGTTAAAGAAAACATAAAAGAAACTTCATAATTTGTCCTTCTGGCGTTGTGTTTTTTCGGTAAAAAACAAAATTGATTTCCAGCCCTCTCTATGCACAAAGTGCAGAGAGAGGGCTGGAAATGGGAACACATTACAGGGGGGACTCATCCCCCCCCCTTCCCCCGATCCGGGTCAAACCCCCCTCCCCCTTGATTCAGACCAACATCGCCCCTCCCCCCCCATGATCCGGACCGACCGCCCCATCCACCTTGATCTGTACCAACCCCCCTCCCCCCGATCCGGACCAACCCCCACCCCCCCTTGATCCTGACACCCCCCCCTACTCGAGCTGGGTAATCCAACGCGAGCCTGAGCACAGTGAGGCTGTGGACGGATGGCAGCATTACCTCGTAAAACAAAATTCCGACGGAGGAACCGGAGAAAAATCCACGCGACCACGGGGGAGAACACGCAGACTCCAAA